TTTCCTCTCTTTCTCAGAACCATTGGGCATCACTTTATCTGTTTTAGTTTGACATTTTCACTAATTACAGCTTTGGTGCTAGGCATTTTCATCAAGTACAAAGACACTCCCATCATTAAAGCCAACAATCAGAACCTCTCTTTCTCACTCCTGATCTCTCTATTTCTATGTTTCCTTTGTTCCTTCCTATTCATTGGCAAGCCCCAGTCAGTGACCTGCTGTTTACGGCAAACTGCTTTTGGCATAATCTTTTCAGTAGCTGTTTCTTGTGTATTGGCAAAAACTATCACTGTGGTTATTGCATTCATGGCTACCAAGCCAGGGTCTAACATGAGAAAGTGGGTTGGGAAAAGACTCACTAATTTGATTCTTATTGGTTGCTCTCTTATTCAAGTCATTATTTGTGGTATATGGTTTTGTACAGCTCCTCCATTCCCAAATTTAGACATGAACTCATTGGCTGAAAAAATCATAGTAGAATGCAGTGAAGGGTCAAACACAATGTTTTATTGTGTTCTGGGATACTTGGGATTTCTAGCCATTATCAGCTTCACTGTGGCTTTCCAGGCCAGGAGATTGCCAGACACTTTTAATGAAGCCAAATTCATCACTTTCAGCATGTTGGTCTTCTGCAGTGTTTGGTTGTCCTTTGTTCCCTCTTACTTGAGCACAAAGGGAAAATACATGGTGGCAGCAGAGATTTTCTCCATCTTGGCCTCCAGTGCTGGGTTACTGGGTTGTATCTTTGCTCCCAAATGCTATATAATTATCCTGAGACCAGACCTGAACACCAAGAACAAGTTAATAAGGTGAAATATGCAGGAATTTGGTCTGGCAGGAGTTAAGCTTCTGGTCCTAAGAATCATGTGAAATATTATGCTTATGCTCACAATTAATAAAGGGCCAGGGTGATGACTCATGATGAGTGACCTGTAGTTAGAAATGTTGGTAGAAAATGGGTAGCTGAGTGGTAGCACTATGGCTTTGCAGGTCCCAGCTCAATTCCCTGCTTCTCTAGGTAGGGTTGGGAGCAACTCTGCCAGTCAATGTAGACAAGGTGGGATCAAATGGTCTGATTCCCTACAATATGTCCTGATTGAATGTCTGAACTTAAAGCACAGTATAGATATATCAAAATTTGAAGAGAATCATAAAAAAGGTAAAGGTACCCCTGCCCGTACGGGCCAGTCTTGCCAGACTCTAGGGTTGTGCGCCCATCTCACTCAAGAGGCCGGGGGCCAGCGCTGTCCGAAGACACTTCCGGGTCACGTGGCCAGCGTGACATCGCTGCTCTGGCGAGCCAGAGCCGCACACGGAAACGCCGTTTACCTTCCCGCTAGTAAGCGGTCCCTATTTATCTACTTGCACCCGGGAGTGCTTTCGAACTGCTAGGTTGGCAGGCGCTGGGACCGAACAACGGGAGCGCACCCCGCCGCGGGGATTCGAACCGCCGACCTTTCGATCAGCAAGCCCTAGGCGCTGAGGCTTTAACCCACAGCGCCACCCGCGTCCCTTGAAGAGAATCATAAGAAATGCTAAATTTGATATTGGAAATATAGTAAATATTTCTAGATATGATGTGTATCTAGAATTTGCTATAAAGCAGGGGTTCCCAAACTTAGGTTGCCAGTTATTTTTGGACTACAATTCTCATCATCCCTGACCACTGATCCTGTTAGCTAGGGATGATAGGAGTTGTAGTCCAACAGCAGCTGGAGACCTAAGTTTGGGAAACCCTACTGTAGAGAATTCCATTACATAAACATCTTTTTATGCCTCCCTCCCCCTTTCTTTTTCCTTATTCTGCAAAAAGAAAATGCAGATTCTGAATTTGAGGCATCTTACGATGTTAAATAACTAACACAGGGGAGTTGCAACCACATAGGAAAATAAGTATTCCAGAGACAAAGGTTGAGGGAACTAGGCCATATTTATTAATTCAACACAAGAGATCTGCAGAAAGGATTGTTGTTGTTGTTTAGTCATTTAGTCATGTCCGACTCTTCGTGACCCCATGGACCAGAGCACGCCAGGCACTCTGTCTTCCACTGCCTCCCGCCGTTTAGTCAAGAAAGGATACAAGGTGTGAAATACTAATGGCACATGACAAGATGGACAAACCAACCATGCCAAGGGTCAGATGTAGTATCCTAGTATGATGATAGGCAAAGCATTCCTACTCAGAATCCCAAAAATCAGCCAGCAAATGTCTACACTTAATAAAGGTTTGGAGGGTGGGTGCCATAAAACCCCAAGAAGGCCAAGCTAGAAGCTAGGGTGGGCTTAAATGGACCAATGTCAGCCCTGTCTCCATTGCTTTGGTGCAGTGTGCATGAGCATGAATGAGACAAAATGCTAATAATAATAATAATAATAATAATAATAATAATAATAATAATAATATTCCTACCCCACTCATCTGGCTGTGTTTCCCCAGCCACTCTGGGCGGCTTTCAACAGAATATTAAAAACAAAATGAAACTTCAAACATTAAAAATTTCCCTAAACAGGGCTGCCTTCAGATGTCTTCTAAAAGTCAGGTGGTTGTTTATCTCCTTGACATCTTTTGGGAGGGTGTTCCACAGGATGGGAGCCACTACCGAGAAGGCCCTCTGCCTGGTTCCCTTCACTTTTCACAGTGAAGGAACCGCCAGAAGGCTTTTGGCGCTGGACCTCAGTGTCCAGGCTGAACGATGGGAGTGGAGATGCTCCTTCAGGTATACTGGGCTGAGGCCGTTTAGGGCTTTAAAGGTCAGCACCAACACTCTGAATTGTGCTGGGAAACGTAGGTCTTTCATACATCCAAGGAGCACAGAGTGCCCCCTCACCACTTCCAAGGAGATCAATGGATGCAGCCCCCTCACACTCTGCCTTTGTCCCGGGCAGCCAAAGCATGCTCGCCCACCACTCGCAGTATTGAGGGGTGGTTTTCCCTCCAAATAGGGCAACTTTGAATGGGCCAATCAGAGGTTCCAGGTGGATGGCAGTGCCTCGCTGGCTGGTTGGCCATTGGGCTGCTATGCCATCCAGCCTTGCAGCGAAGTTTAAAAGGCTGGCTGTGTGAGGCTTCCGCAACGCAGTCAGCTGAAGAGCAAAACCTCCCCACCCCCTTTACATTATTCCGTTTACACTTCAGGGCAATTACTTATCATGCTTCTAAAATGTATTTTCTTTTTCAGGTTCTGTTTAACATTGCTTTCCCCCTAGATCTTACTCAATGGTTTTCTTGTACCTCCTGATCTTGCTATGGTTGCTGTATTCAGAACTAGGAAGGCATCTCCTTGTAGGCAAATCAGCAGCTCGGGAGGTTTTGCCTTCTCCATAGCAAAACTGTGAAAGCATTAGAGGAACCCAAGTCGTCAAACACAGGGTGAAGTGGTGCATCACCCACCATGGTATCAGAGGTGTATTCAGGATACCCCATTAGAAGGGCCTTGGTGGAAGTCCCTATCTAGAAGCTAAGTTTAGGACAGACGGGCCATCGGGTTTCCAGCTTAGGATGGTCAGCTCAGTAAATCAATGCAATGGGGAGGCCATAGTCCATGGCACGACCCTGAAATAGTTCCAGCAATCCAGCAGAAAGCTGAAATGGATATGCACACAATGCCTGAGCCAAAGTTCCACCTATACCTGTAATCAATAAAATTGTGGCCATTTTTATCCAGATAGTTGTCTGCTTGAGTTTGTACCATCGCACCTCACGTGGTATAAGGCCAGGGAGAGAAGGCACAGTATAAGGGGAAGAGTTCTCTCACGAACATGCTTTGTGATCACAGCATGCCTCTGACAGCTGGCTCAGGAGATGGGGGACATGAGATCCTCCTTTGGGATGAATTATTTTGATTGTCAGATCCTTTAGTTTCTACATTTTAATAAATATAACCTGTTATCCATCTTTCTTGTCTCATGTCTTCTTGTATGTGTTGCCAATGAGCTTCCTTGTATGTGTTGCCAATGAGCTTTCTTGATTAACTTTCTCAATAAACCTTAAGATTGATTGAATATATCATGTAATGTTCTGGGCATTTATTTTATAGCATGTAGGGTTGCCGTGTGTGTGTGTGTGTGTGTGTGTGTGTCAAAGTTGCTGAGCTTTTTTTGGCGAACATCCACCACCCAAAAAAGAAAAAGTTCAGGGGCTTTCGGGGATTTTTATGGGGTCCCCCTCTTACCTGCCTTGCCATATGCCCAGGTTTTTCCAGACATTTTACGCATATATATATATATATATATATATATATGGTATCCTTTGAAGGAAGGGTGGAATAATGAATAAATAAATAGCCCTCCAAAAAAATCATTTCACTTTCTTTCTTAAAGACCAACACAACTAAATTAATTAATTATTTTTGACCTATGTAAGACAGTATACAGTATTATGGTAAATTGGAATAAAATACATGTAGTAGTGAAAGTTAAAATTACAGTGCATTCTACTTGGAAAGAAAAAATAATTTGAAAATGTGTATATTAGGCAAAAACTGTGTACAAAATGTTCATATAAAGAGAAAGGCACACTAGAATTTTCATGATATTTTTTAAGGGAACTAAATTTAACAATGGAAAAATGAGAAACCGCGGAAGACCCACCCAGGTGCAACCATATTTGCATTGAAACCATAATTTTCATTTTTATCTATCTCAAATTTCTTGAGATGCAACTTCAAAATAAGTATTCCCCTAAGGAATTCATAGAGCCAAACATGTTTGCTGAAGCAATACCACAGAGGCACTTTCTGAAAACAGGTAATTTTCATCCACCTCCCTAGATCATTAATTGGAGTGTGGTCAGTTTTGCTCCCTTTAGAATACACTGCCAAGTTGTGCAGGCACTAGCAAAACAAAAAAATCAAGAGCACAGTGAGTGGTTTAAATACCCCCTACACTGCTTCTACCTGGGGCATCAATATCTGAGGCCTTAAGGTTTGTATTTCTGGCTGCAGAGTAGAGTATCAGTGAAGTGGAATCCGACTGGCATACTCCTAGACATTCTAAGGAGGATGGGTAAACAAGGAATTCGGTGTTTTGAGGGAAGATCTGAGGAAAGATTTGCATTTGTGATATTACTGGTCCTGTTGCATATTATGATGCCTCACATGGCACACAAACGTAATCATTGCATTATTAGTGATCCCATCACTGTTCGTCACAGGTATCTACAGTCTGGTGATCTCATAATTGGTGGAATTATTTCTCAGTTCTTGCTGCCTGATCAACTGCATAGCTTTGATAAAGACCCTCATGATGAATTGATTGAAGAAACACTGTAAGCCTGCCTTCCTGTCTGTCCTCCCTCTATCCCTATTAAGTAGAGCTTCCCGGGTCATATACTCACAAAGACCAGCTGCATGGATGGAAATTAGCAACAATAATATGTGAACTGTTTTCTTTGCGTAGAGTATATGCATGGGCTGCAGCCAGTAAAAAAGAGCATGTATTAGTGGGATTGCCATGGGCACCACAAAAGGCTCATCCATGATTAGGTTTGCTCTGCATTTTCCAGGTCCAGATCTGAGTGTGTGTTTTTGTTTTTGTTTTTGTCCTGGCACTTTGTTCTGGAAAACCCGTTTTTTAATGTTGAATCAGAACAAATTGCAATCGATGGAAAATCCGCTGTGATCGAGCAGTAAAACACGGGTTTACCTGGGGAAAGCAGCAGGACATAAAAAAACAACACCACCAACCCACTGAGAGCTGGACCCAGAAATCCCAGACCTGTGCCCAGAAATGCAGCCAAAAAGGAAGTGAGGATGAGCCCTGAGTGTGGGTAGCGGAGGCTGAAGCCTCTCCTTCTTTGCTGTGACCTTAGTAAAAATTGCCCTGTGCTATTATGTGGGAATATATCCTGAAATCATGGCTGAGAAAGGAGAGCTTAAAGCTTCCCTTCCCAAATGATATCCCCTACACAAACACACACTCATGTCTGGCATTTAATTTTTAAGCCCTTGTGCTGTGAATACCAGTCATGCCATAGTTATCAAAAATTGTCCATTAAAGGAAGAAAAAATATTTTTCATTTCAGTTTTCTGACAGGACAATTTCTATCTTAAATTCAAGCTTTTAAAAGCTTGAGCCCTCAACTATATTGGAAACCAAATATTTTGCTACTGAAAATAATCTCTGAAATAATTAACTGAAAAGTTGGGTGAGCTGGGTCAAATAATTAACTGAAAAGTTGAGTTACATCTGCTGCAGCATATGCTTTTGGTGAAGAGCAACACTGTAAAAGTTTTACTAAGAACAAAGTCTTACTTTTATGTTCCGTCCAAATCTCATTATAGTATACTGACTAAGAACTATCTGCACACCCTAGCATTGGTGTATGCTGTGAAGGAGATAAATGAAAACCACTATATCTTACCAAATGTTACCTTGGGCTTCCATATCTATGAATGTTATTCCGCTGCACATTGGACCTACATTGGCATATTGCAACTTCTCTCAGCAGAGAACAGATTTTTCCCAAACTATAAGTGTGGTGTTCAGAACCAACTGATGGCTGTCATTGGGGATCTTTATTCTGAAACCTCCCTCCACATGGCAACACTATTGGGCATGTACAAAGTTCCACAGGTAGGATATATCATGGCCAGTCACATATGACTTTGTGCTGTGGATACATCATGTTTGAGATAAGCTTTCAGATCTGCACATAAGACATAAAGGTAAAGGGACCCCTGACTATTAGGTCCAGTCGTGACCGACTCTGGGGTTGCGGCGCTCATCTCGCTTTATTGGCCAAGGGAACCGGCGTACAGCTTCCGGGTCATGTGGCCAGCATGACTAAGCCGCTTTTGGCGAACCAGAACAGCGCACGGAAATGCCATTTACCTTCCCGCTGGAGCTGTACCTATTTATCTACTTGCACTTTGACATGCTTTTGAACTGCTAGGTTGGCAGGAGCACAAAAAACATACAGCAAAGCTAAATGACAAAGTCACTTGATTTTTGCTTGCGGTTTTGAGCCCCATGTTGGGTGAAAGATTCCTGTATTGCAAGGATATATCCAGTAAAGCCACTTGTAAAAGGGGGTTTGACCAAATGGTCCTTGTTGTCCCTTCCAACTCCATAATTCTATGTTTCTAAGTGGCAAAATGTATTTGGCCATCACTGTGCACACCCCTATATAAATGTTATATAAATACATTATAAACATAAATAATTGTATAAAAATAATAAATTAACTATACATATACAATATTATATTTACAGATTATAAAAACTAATAATTAACTTATAAATAATAATTATAACTGTGATGACATTTAAAATGAATATTTATTACTCATGCAATATAGAAACACATTGGAATGTGGATTCAAATTATACTGAAATATAGTAATGGTTAGTTGTTATTACGTTATTACTTCAGGGAATCAAAATGCACGCTCGGGCTTCTTTATTTCTCTTAACGTGTCCCATTCCATCCTATCCCCCTTATATCTTTCCACAGTTCACATATGGCTCTGTTCCACTGATACTTGATAAAGCTGAAACTTATTCATTCTACCAGATGGTCCCAAATGAAACCTATGAGCATAAAGGGATTCTCCTGTTGCTTTTGCACTTCCAATGGACATGGGTTGGGGTCATTGCCACAAATGATGAGAATGGAGATAGATTTGTGTGGACAATAACAGCAATGTTTCCCCAACAGGGAATCTGTTTTTCCTTCATAGAAAGAATTGAAGTAATTTATATCAATGATCTGATTGGAGCTATAGGTTCAATGGTGAGAATATATAATGTTTCCATGGAGAGTAATGCCAATGCAGTTGTTGTGTATGCAGAAAACATAATAAATTTCAGGTGGCTGTTATACATTCCAGAAATTGAATATGCTATAATGCCGCCCAAATGTAAAGTGTGGATTCTAACAGTCCAGCAGGAACTCAGTTCATACCCTTATCAAAAGGGCTGGGATTTACAAGTCATCCAAGGTGCTTTGGGCTTCACCATTCAGTCCAATGAAGTATTAGGATTCCAGGATTTCTTACGGACCAGAAACCATCTGGGGACCAAAGAAGATGGTTTTATCAGTGATTTCTGGGCACAGGCATTCAAGTGTCTTTTACCACATATTTTTGTTAGCACAGAGGGTGAGAAATCCTGCACTGGAAATGAGAAGCTGGACAGCCTCTCTGGGGATTTTTTTGAAATGAAGATGGTTGGCCACAGCTACAATATCTACAATGCTGTCTATGCTGTGGCCTATGGCTTGCATGCCATGCAATTATTCAAGCACGAAAGAACGATTAATTTTCAGGATCCGCAGCCGTGGCAGGTAATGACCCAAGCATGGAAATATGAGTTAGCACCATGTTTGTGTGTGTTTTTTAACAATTCCTCCATATGCAGCGTTTTCGTGTACTTATTTTCTTTACCACTTTCATATCACCATATTTCAATGTTAAATGAAGAGAGAGAGAGAGAGATGATAGATACTACAGATATATATCCACTAATACCTTTTTATATGGAAACTGTTGCGTTTTAGGAGCACTACACACATTGTAGTCCTCCAGTTATCTATTGACTCCAGGAAAGTATTCTTTTATCGCAGCGACGTCAAATATTTCATTCTGATATTTCTAAAACAATCCAAAGGAAGGGGAATGAATTCTCATGCACCCTCCATTCCCTTCTCCTTCATCTACATCATTCTTTTCTGATCAGGGAATCAGGAATGAATTATTTGATAAAGTGACGGTCGTAAGCCCAATATAACACCAATTTGTGAAAGTAATGTTGTGAATGATGAGTGGTGAAGAGTCTAACGTTAGGAATGGGATAAAATGCAACTCCAACTATTGCTTTTTCCATAATTAAACAATGTCTATTGCTGAAAAGCAGCCTATATGGGATGTATCTGGAATGTTCTAGAACAACATGATAGATATCCTTTTGTGCAGTATTTCTTCATGTTTCTTCTTTTGGCCTGCTTTTTATACCACAGACCTTTGATCAAGCAAAACAAAACTTAAAATAGCCTACATATGTCCTTTGGGCTTACAGGTCTCCCATTTACGCACTAGTCTGCTATTCATTAATGGAAAGATGTTTTGATTCATGAGCTGTTCTAGGTCCTCTTGAGTCTGCCCAGTAGATCTTGTAGAATTTGTGTGAAGTGGAGTAGACAGTACTTGTAGAATTTGTGTGAAGTGGAGTAGACAGTAGTGATATTACTAGAAGACAGTTTCATATATAAGCCATTGAAATCTTTAATGAAAATATATTTTCTTTCTCATCTTAGCTCTACCACTTTGTGAAGAGAGTCTCGTTTAACAACAGTGCTGGTGATGAGATCTTTTGACCAGAATGGAGAACTGGAAGCTGGATTTGATATTATCAACTGGGTGACTTTCCTAAATCAGTCCTTTCGAAGAGTGAAAGTTGGGAGGTTGCAAGCCAGAGCAAAAGCATTCACCATTAATGAAGGTGACATCACATGGCACAGTGGTTTCAAGCAGGTAGTTTCAAGTAATTTTGAAATCTTGCCAATTAACACCAAACAGTAAGGGAACATTCCTAAGCATGGGAACCTACCACAAATTATGCCATCTTAAATTGAGCAATCATACAGTACATAGGACCAAATTCCATGCAGGAGCAGGGCTACCATTGGCTGATTTGGCTTGAGCTCAGCCGAGGGAAAACAAGACTTTAAAATACAGTACAGTTAGAGTTACACCAGAGAAAAGGAGCAGATCCCACATTGATCTGATCATTTTTAATTGTTCAACCATCAATTGTTGAACAATACCAACAGTCACTGGGAGATCCAAAAGTATTTTTACTACCCTGGATGCTTTTGATGTTCTGTTTAATATTAGCAACTCAGCTTACCTTAATAATTCCTTTTTAAAAATAATATTTATTACAGACTTTCTTGGTTTACGAAAGTAATTTCCACCTCAAAATCATAGCTGTAATGTGTTATTTCATTAAAAAAAACATTTTCCATGGCTAGTAATAGCCACTTTACTTTCATTTTCTTCAGTTCTTTAGTAGCAGGAAACAGAAAAGGGAATACAGATTTATACACAGGGATTCCCCTCATCTGTTTAATCAGACTGTGGATTTCCACCACAAGATGGGGAGGGGTCTCTTTACAATTACAATGTTCTTTGTCCAATAAGTATTTTAAAAAGAGTCTTCCTTAGCTATAAAAGTGATTATGTGGTGTTTGGGCATGATGATAACTCAGCTTGCCGGATTGCTCTAACTCAATCAAAGCATTTTGAGGTTAATTTAAAATGGCCTCAATCAAAGCATTTCAGGTTAACTTGCTTGATCACCCTTATGTACAAACTAATAGTCAGACAACATGTCTGACTAATCAATCGGCACGTAATTATCTTCTCTCAACAAGAGATAACAGATAGATAGCTGAAATGTCATTTCTCAATGAGTAGACCCATTGAAATCAATAGACCCATTTTAATCAGTAAACTCAGACACTGCCATTGTTTTGCTGAAATCAAGTCATGTAGTGAGTTTTCTGTCTTTCTACCATTTTATGTTGAAAATTAATGGAAGAAGATGGAAAAGTAAAAGAAAGAAAGAGGGGAAAGAGAAAGCTATAATTCTGAGCCCTGAGATACATACAGAGATATAGAGGTAATTGAGTTTGTGTAAAATGTCTATGTAGTTGCCCAAATATATTTGCTGAATAATTTTTGTTGGTTTGTGTTTTCTTTTGAAATTTATAGGTTAGCCGTTATTTGTATCACTGGTATGTAATGACAAGGTTTTCATCATTTTCTCTCATTTATGCAAAGGCCCAGCCTATTTCTGTATGTTCAGACAAGTGCCATCCAGGTTATAGCAAGAAAATGAAGGAAGGGGCACCATTTTGCTGCTATGATTGCATCCCCTGTCCAAATGGGAAGATTTCAAGCCTTGACGGTAAGACCTTCAGTGTACAGGCTTAAATTTAATGTAGTTTCCAAAGCACATGGCAATTCAAGTTGTGATGTTGTTGCTGATAATATTGTTTTTTAATTGGCTGAATCAGAATCTCCAGAAAGGCATAACAAAATCCAATTCAAACTCTATGATAAGATCCCATGCCAAATAACACTGTCACAACCCTATTACATTGTTGCAGTATTAAAGCAAGATAAATACACTGAGGTTCGAGAAAACAAAATAAACCATTTTTCTCTTCCAATTTTCAGACATGGATGACTGTTATGAATGTGCAGAGGATCAGTATCCCAACAAGGACCAAGATTTGTGTGTTCACAAGACAGTAACCTTCTTGTCTTATGAAGAACCACTTGGGATCATCTTAGCCATTTTTTCAATTTTCTTTTCGTTCTTCACTGCTTTGGTTCTAGGAATATTTATCAAGCAACATGACACACCCATTGTCAAAGCCAACAACCGAAGCCTTTCCTATACTCTCCTCATTGCCCTCTTGTTCTGCTTCCTTTGTGCTTTGCTTTTCATTGGCCCACCTCTGAAAGCAATATGCCTTCTCCAACAAATTAGTTTTGGTATAGTTTTCTGTGTTGCTGTTTCTTGCATATTGGCCAAAACCATGACAGTGGTTCTGGCTTTTCTTGGCTACCAAACCAGAAAGCACCATTGTCCTTTCATGCTCTCTTATCCAAGCATCAATTGGTGTCATATGGTTGGCAACCTTTCCGCCATTTCCCAGATGCTGACATTGCACTCAGAGACTGAAGAAATTATACTGGGATGTAATGAGGGGTCTGTGATTATGTTTTTCTGTCTTCTTGGCTATATGGGTTTTCTTTCCATTGTTTGCTTCTGCATAGCTTTCCTTGCCAGGAAGTTACCTGACAGCTTCAATGAAGCCAAGTTTATCACTTTCAGCATGTTAGTCTTCTGCAGTGTTTGGTTGACCTTTGTTCCAACCTACCTGAGTACCAAGGGAAAATACACAGTGGCTGTGGAGGTCTTCTCCATTTTAGCTTCTGGTGCTGGTTTACTGGGCTTTCATCTTTTTACCAAAATGTTACATTATTGTTTGGAGGCCTGATTTGAACAAAGAGGAACGACTAATTAAGTGAAAATATTAAAATTATTAATTGTAAGCAGTTTTTTATATAAGACTGAATTTCAGCTTTTTTTTTTACAGCATTTCATTCAATATCTGCAAACACAAAATTCTCCATGTCTCTCACATATACAAGAATCTATCGATCTCTCTTCCCCTTCTGCTGTCTCAAATCTGTATATTTTCATCTACAGTGGTGCCTCGCAAGACGAAATTAATTCGTTCCGCAAGTCTCTTCGTCTTGCGGTTTTTTCGTCTTGCGATGCACGGTTTCCCATAGGAATGCATTGAAAATCAATTAATGCGTTCCTAGGGAAACCGCCTTCAGACCAGGTCCGGGGACAGTCTGTCCCCGGACCTCTTCTGAAGGCTGGGGGGGGGACAAGGGCTTTTTCCCCCCCCGGCATTTTAAAAAACCCTGGGACAGCGGAGGACTTCTCCGCTGTCCGGGGCGATCTTAAAATGCTGGCGGGCGGCATTTTAAAATCGCCCGGACAGCGGAGGACTTCTCCGCTGTCCGGGGGCGATTTAAAAGCCCCTGGGAAGGCAGGCAGGGGGACAAAGACTTTCGCCCCCTGTCCGCCTTCAGAAGGTGTTCCCGCCCCCCGCCCCACTTCGGAACAGCTTTTCGAAGTGGGCGGCTGGGGCAGATGTCCCCGCCCCCCCCTCCCCGCTTCGGAACAGCTTTCCGAAGTGGGGCG